CTCTTCCAATCATCTTTGTATGTGAAGGTCATGATGAAGTGTTTGGTAACCACCCGTTGGAGTGCACATTACAAAGCTATTCATGCAGTGAAAACCAGATTTCAAGGAGTGATTCAGGCACTCAATTCATTAACCTCAGCTTCAGAAAATCTTCAAATTAGATGGGATACACAAATCATTTTGCTTTCAATTGAAAACTTGTTTTACTGTGAAGAAATTCTGGGACAAATAAATCTCATCAGGAACCTGGTATTGGTTCTGATGTGTGTGTAACCCACATGGACGAAAGCAAAATTTTCTTTAACCGAAACAGGGACAGGCTGGTGTCTGAATCGGTTAAGAAGTAAAATAAAATGCAAGGAAATGGAAATTCCAGTTGAAATGTGCATTAGAAGAAAGAGAAAGCTACCTGGGGAAAAGGAAGATGATGTATGTCAAACACTTGTGCAGGAAGTAAAGAGAAATCTTTATGAATGTCATGATCAACTTGTAAATGAACTGGAGCATGATTTGATGCCATGTCTCATGTGAAAACTGTCTTCGCTGGATTATCATCGCAAGCAATCCTGGAAAATGCTGAAGACAAGTTGGAGTGAAAATTTTAAATTCTTGGTAGTGAATACAGTGCTGATTTAGACGTATCTAGGCTGCTTTTGGAAGTTCTCCGACTTGGGAATGTAACATGACCATGATGACCAAATCATCGGTTATTGAATGGCTGAAATGTATTTATCAATGGCAAGTTCAAGAAACAGTGCCCAATATTATGATTGCTCTATGGCTGTTTTTGATGCTCACAGTTTCTGTTGCTACTGCTGGGAGAAGCTCCTCAAAACTGAAGCTCATTAAAAGTCATTTGTGATCGAGTATGTTGCAAGATCGCTTATCCAATCTATGCCTCATTTTTAAATTGAACATGAAACTGTGGAGAAGATAGGCTTTGACCAAGTCATTAGTAACTTTGCTTCTGCAAAAGCTTGAAAGATTAATATATGATAATGTTTGTTCAGCTAATTTTTGAATTTATTGTTTTTTAAGTACTAATTAACGTCATTAAGGGTATTTCATTTATATTTTTCCTCAAAAAAAAAAAAATAGGGAATATGGGCCCTGGGCGGCACTTTGCCTTGGTAAGCCCCTGGATCCATGCAGCAGTTGCAGTGGGTCATTAAAAAGACAGCCAGATGAAAAATTACATTTCGTCCCAGAAATGAGGCCGTATTTCATTTTTTAGCATGAAATGACTGTGCAAGATGAGCTGATATTTCAGGGTAGATGTCCCTTTGAACCAATGGGCTGTGCCCAAGGAAAGACTGTATACCTTCCATTTAGTCTGATGTTTTTGTGTGGAAGTGGTGTTTTACACACACACGCCCATTAGCCCTTACAACAGCAAAGTTAATGGTAAAGTGGAATCAGCAGGTGAGGAATCTTTTCTGAAAAACCATAGCCATGCAGGTGGATCCATATTTAGCAATATTGGATCACTGAAACACACCTGAAAAAGATTTTCTATCACCGGCACAGAAACTTATATCAAGGAGAACAAAAACTCTTCTACCAACTACAAATACCCAGAAATATAAAGTAGGCATTAACTTGAGAAGGTAGAATACAAAAACTCTACTTAAATCAGAAGGTCAGATCCTTGTAACCTGTACTTCTAGGGGTGGTTGTGCAGGTGAAATCGCTTGTAAGAAATAAGGAATGGGAAAAAGGAATAGGGACCAAGCAACTGGATATAAGGTCATACCACACTGATATCAAGGGGGAGCTGTGCTGACGAAACCGGATTGACTTGAAGGGAACAGCAGAGGCATCCCAAGTCCATATTTGGGGATTCAATTATACACAGTCCAAAGCGATTACCTGTGCCTAGCTGATTGCCTTGGATTGAGTATAGCTGAATCCCCAGAAAATCAAAGTATTGCTGAATCCTTCAGAAAATCCGTCCAAAGCAGCAAATTTGACAGCTCCACTGGTTATAAACCCAGGCGATGGGAGGATCCCAAATACACCTTATCAGGATAATACAGTGAGGAAAATGCGTTATGGGAGAATAGCCAGAACACCAGCAAGGTTGAAGGACAAAAGAAAAAGAAAGTTGAACGAAGGGGCAGAATAATACCTGTAATGTAAGAGAGCAGTCTATCCAGTGAATGCCTTGGTCACTCATCTCTTGCTCATTCCATTAAGGAAAACAAAATAGTCTTTTTTCAAAGGAGGCAAAATGTTTCATGGGACACTACTTATGTCTAATCCGGTTACATGATGTACAAGTGCGGGCAGTTCAAATTAGCACGGCTTACTGTGAAGACAGGCATATCAACTGATGTGGTCAATTGCCAGTTGCCATAGGCAATACTGAGCATGGAACAGTCTCCTTTCAGGATAAACAATATGGCTTTCACTGCTCTTATAACCTGACCCCTCTGGCTGTATGAACACCAGACCTAACCTGTGCTGAAGCTGGTTATCAAAAGCAACACTCTTGTTCAGGTGTTGAATACCACACCAAGAGATTGGCTACACCGTTGAAGGTGGTTTCTTTCCTTCACCAGTATGTGTTGTCTAGTTTTGTTGTAGTCACTCACAAAGAATTCATGAGGCATGGATTTTTGTTGATCTAAGTGAAAATCTGATTACCACTTCTTCAAAGCCGAGCAATCCTTCTGAAAGAGGTGTAACAAGTCCACAGAAGAAATGATACTGTTGAAAAGTTATCAACAATTTAATTCCAGATGAAATGTAAAGTCATTCAGCAACTAATTTGTTTCTATTTCTTTCTTGCTAAACTTGAGAGACGTATGTTCTAAGAGATGTGTGAGAGCTAACATCTTTGCAGTAATTGACATCTATGGAGGATGAAGGACTTGTATTGAACCCTCTAAGAGGATCTTGTCTGTGAGATGCCTGCTTCAATGATTCTGGGCAACTATCCTCTCTCTTCTGTGCACTAACTTCTGCACATGCATATTCACTCACATAGGCTTCTCAACCAGTACTGGATATGATTAATTAGCTTTTCAAACTAAGAACCTCTGGTTAGAAAAACCTGATATTCAACCATAAAATACTTTTTGATTTGGGTCTGGATTTTGAAGTTTCCAAAATGTCACTGAAATTAATGTAAACACAATGAATAAGGCTCTAAACAAACAAACCATAGAGTTAACAAAAACCTGTGGACACTTGGTAAACTCGTTAGTCATGTTAGGCCAACTTCCTCAGCATTATGACGGTAGGCCTGGGGTATTAGTTAGACTGAATCTTAATAAATCTTACTTAGTTTGAGTTCCAACTCTGAAGAGTCCCTCTTTATAAGTAGTTTATGGGTTTAAATTAATATTTTTAAACCAGACTTTTTTTTTCCCGTCGAATTCCAATTCAATTAATCACTCCCTTATTTTTCTCACTCTAATATCTTTACTTCTTTGCTCAGAATTATTAAGTCTCTCCAATATCTCAAGTCAGTAGCCACTTTCCATGCAATCAGAGCCACTGCAGTGTTACACTTTAGGTCAACCACCGAAGTATTAATGCTTATTACTGAAAAAGTATGTCAAGCTTTACATAAAGTCAAGGTACCAAAAAGGAAAGCTCATCAAAATTTTTTTTTGCCATGAAAATATTTATAGAAAAAGCACAGGGAAGTTATATTACAGTAGTGTGAAAATGGGATGTAGCTTTAGATCTCTCAATGGTGTTTGACAGGGTTTGACATGCTGGTTTTATTCACAAGTTAAAGGGTTATGGTGTCACTGGCCAAATTCTTGATTTGTTCCAATCTTTCTTAAAAAAAATAGCATTATGAAAGTTGTCTTGAACAGCCACTCTTCTAGATCTTTTAGCATTAATTCAGGAATTCCTCAGAGCTCTAGCCTGGAAATTTTTTTTTATCTTCAACAACCTTCCTGATATCATTATTTCCTTACTTTTTCCTTGATAGGCTTAATACAATCAAATTGGCAGTTGGTCTTGAACCTAATCCTCAACCTGTTGTTAACTGACGTAACAAATGGTTTGTGAACTTTAATACCTCCAAAACAAAACTGCTGTTTTTTTAGTCTTCTTAGAGAACTATTTTTGATTTCCATCAGCATGGTTGATGCTAACATACAAGAAAGCAATTCACTGCACTTTCTTGGTCTCACATTTTCCACTGGCATGAAGTGGAATGACTGCTAGGTCTGCTGGTAAAAAAAGTTGGTTCCAGACAATTTTTCTTGCTAGAATCCATCTTGCACACCTACTGCATTGAATATTGCTGTCACATCTGGTCTGGTGCCCTTGCTATATATCCCGAGATATTCTGGACAAAATCCAAAGTAGAATTTGTAATGTTATCAGACTTGACATAATATTTCAGCTTCAGTCAGTTTCCTACCTCCATAATATAGCTTCTTTGTGCTTTGGTGGCTTCATGAATTTAAGCATAGATGGGCAGCTAGGTTTCATCATTTTAGATGCAATAGTAGGTTCTATTCTAATACTTTCTTTATCTTGACTGCTCTCTTCCAGTTTCCTGTCAACTATGATCTTTAAACATTTTAATATAACATCAATCACCAACTTCTGTTTTTTTTATTTGAATCCTATTTTTTTATTGCCCTTTCTCCTCATTAACATTTTCTCATTTTCTTTCACATTCAATAATAATAATAGTCGATTTATCACCTTGCTTGGGATGAAATGATTAAAAGAAAATATCAATAATTTCATGAAATTTACATCTATCATATAAATATCAGTATATCATGAAAACTTTTACCAAAATTGTTTGGTTAATACTAATTTTATTATGAAAACATTTGCATAGAAAATTCTGACAGTTAACTCAGTAATTTGAAAATTAACCAGTCTGACTGCCTGTGAGATAATCCCCTAATAATAATTACCTAACTGCAGATTTCTAACTACAAATTATTCCTCCTGGGATCTGTATGCAAAAAAAATGTTTTTGAATACAGACTATAGAGTACCTGAAAGAGTTTACAAACCTGAGTCAGGAGTTATGATCCCTTTGCGTATCAAAAAGTCCAGGACAACAAGTGCACAGTTGGGCTTCATTTCATCACTGGTAATTATATATTGCAGCTGTGAAAGAGAAAACAACATATATGAGGAATGCTAAAATTGTATGTAAAGATAAAATATAGCTGCCTTGGAAAGAGAACATTTAAGTGACACTACAAAATTGGTGTGAGGATATAAAAGGATAGAAGTGCATTTTTTGTGAAATGAGAAAAAAAAATTGAAAAGAATTTAACTCAATATATGCCCTTTTTGCATAATACAATTAATAAAAACTTCATATAAAGAATTCTGATTTCAAATCAGAATTTTGTCTCATTCTTAGAGAGATCTGTTTGCTCATTTAAAAAAATGGAAAAAAAAACATGTAAAAAGGGCACCTATTAGGTCTTTTTAGAATCACACTGACACATGAATATGAATTATAAGAAGGAAAAGAGTAAAGAAATATTAGCTTAGAACCATATGAAGCTCTGCTTCTTCTCACTGCTTAAAACATAGAGGATAATATGGCTAAAAATAATAATGAGAAAATTTCTAAGTAGTCTCAACAAAAGACATAAAAAGGATTCAAATTTGATATAACCAATTTAGTTTTTCCTCTTAGAGATTAAAGAAAGAAAAAAAAAGTGTTGAAATATAAGCTGTAACATTTTAAAACTCTTTCCTATAAAACTCAATATTCAATATTGAATATTCAAATAAAATTCAATAAAACTCTTTCCTAATCACCCAAAATATAAAGTGGGTGAATTTTGCAATTAATTAAAGTGTTTGATGCAACTTACCTTTTCTAGGGAGACTAACTCAAACTTTTCAACTTCACCATCTGCATTGTGAGGCACAAAATCAGGAGGTAATTCAAGGTCAAAGACGAACTGACATTCGGGAAAAAGACCTCGTTCATCTTCATAGAAATAACTACAAAAAAAAAAAAAAACGTAAAAAAATTTTTTTTTTATATAAAGCATTTGCATTGCATGGATTTTGAAACAGTCCCCTTTTTGCTTCTCACACAATAATTGAAACAATTATTGTCTTTTGATTCTTAAAAATGATTTGTTAACGAAATTGGATGAACATCCTAGTTATGCTTAGTTTTAATTAATGTTTCTAAAATTCAGACACAAATGGCAAACTCAATGCTATTATAATTTTTGTTAACAATGTAAGCAATCCTGTGTTGAGATGCACAATTCTGCTGTGCACCATAATATGCAAGAGTGAAACAATTTTTCTTTAAAAATTCAAAACAAACATGACTGAAAATTGTATTACTTTTCATTTTTTTTTATAAATCCAGTTTTAAAAATAACCAAAGGGGAAAACTCTTAGCCTCTGTTTAAACAAAATATGTGTTCTGACCATTAATCATATTTCAATCACTATATAAACTAAGGTAACTTCAAAAACAAATGTTTTAATTAAAGTTTAAAAAAAACAAACAATTTATCTTTTCTTAATTAAAAATTTAAAATAACTCAACTCTTAACTTAAAAGCAATCTGAAAATTTACTGATATTCTTTTATTGAAAAAAAAATACAAGCGTGCATATTGTTTCTCAACAGAAAAACTAGAAAGGATACTTTCTTAATTTCATATTTTAATGAGATTTCAACACACTTAAACAGTGAATTAATTTCATCTTTTGAGCTTTCTTGATAAACATCAAAGGTATATGTTTGCATATTGTGTTTCATGTCCAATAGTGGCAAGATATGGTTCCTAATTTACTAGGGTAGCAAGTTTGAGCTTCATTGGATTCTGTCTCTCTATTGGTGATGTTTGTCAGATTCAGTTGAACATAGAAAATCACCTGATATTTCCAGTTGGAATGATTTTTTCCAATAAATTGTCTGGAACTACTGCTTCTTCCTGACATTCTTTCTTCATGCACTCCATGATACCAAGACCTGATGATAAGCCACCAGCTGCCTGAAAGTTAGTAGCAGAAAGAAGATATTTACAGAACCCATGAATAAGAAATTGTTTTAGGTTGGAGGTCCAGGGTGCCAAATTAGTTATGATGCATATGTTTATATTGTTACAGCAAAATCAAGAAATACAAGACTTGAACAAAAGATAGGCAACCCCAGCCAGATATATATATATATATAACTTCTAATGATCTTCAGGGTACTAGCAGCAGGTCTTGAGATTAACCTTGTTTCACAAATGATAGAACATTAGATTAACAATTGGTTAGAATTTTTATGACAATACAAATTTTTTCATTAAAATTTTATTATATTTATTCTAATAGCAACTAATTTAGGAAATTAAATGAAAAAAAAAATCTTTCATCTCATCACTGAGTGGCACTTCTTGTCAACAGAGCCAATTTCAGCATTAAATTCAACAATTAATGGAGAATATAGATTGCAGTGGTCAGTGAATAGTGTGGCAAAAAAACATTGGAAATTATCAGAGTACCCAATGTTAAATCATCTCAATTAGGAACTTGACCCACCTAAAGGAATTGAACACCTATGTTGACACATACATAGCCACAGCAGGCTATCCATCCTGGACCCCAGGAACTCATACCTGCAGATTTCCATTGAAAAATTACCATCAGGTTCAAGGAACAAAAATTGTCTAACTATAGGTTGAGATTTGGCCTGAATGTAAAGTCACTGATAATGAGATTCATACTCAAGTCAGTGTTGGCATAGGATGAAACAATAAGAGTAACGTTAGCATATCTTCACCGGTTACAGTGTGTTGCTGAAAAGGGAGACTAGCCATGAGCAAGATGTGGAGCAAGCTGGACATGAATATTACTACAATGGTAATAATTTTTTAACATTGATCAATTGTGATAAAAAATTATCACAATTGATCAATGTTAAAAAATTAACATTGATCAATTGTGATAATTTTTAATATTGATCAATTGTGATTTTTGATCTGGCAACTGCTGCTGAGGCAAGACACTGAAAATATCATCTGAAAATTAGAATCAGTGTTCTACAAATGCAGTCTCCAACAGAGACCCTTGTAACTGACCGAGATGTGCATATGTGCCTGCAGGAAATGGCATAGTAGAGAGATGCCATTCAAACTATGAAGAGAAACACAGGTTTCGAGGGATGCTTGCTCTTTTCATAGCCTTTGTGTTCATACCTTTTATCAGCATGCAATAACACCAGAGTCTTATTTGCTATTTTTCTCACTCTGTAAAACTAGAAAAATAGATCTGCTATCCAAAGAAAAATAAAAAGAAAGGACTTCTTGTTTTCTTGCTATTTCTAAGTTTTGAATCTCAAAAAATATTTACCATATTGTCTAGCTTTCCAGGCCAGCATTGCTTTTTGGAACTTCGTTTTCCAAGCCACATTTGAAGAGATCCATCTTCAGAATATGTGTAACCATTTAAGTGTGTTCCATATGAAATAATCCCAAAAAGACCTGAAAGAAAAAAAAATGTCATGTCTTTGTCTCACCTTAAAAAATGTTGAAATGTTACCACCAAATCCTTTCTTGCAGATAATTAAAAAACAAAAAGATGAGTTTGTTAATTAAATATTAAACACATACAAACTCTACTTTTAAACTTACAAAGTATTCAAATTAAGAAAGAAATGATGTTTCAGTAATTCTATTGAAAAAATGTATTTCTGACAATTTGAAGTCATAAAGAAAGAAGAAAATCCCACTCAAATATACATTTTATTTTTCATCAATTTAGATAAAATTTGATAAAGATCTTAAAATTAAAACAATTGTTCTTGAAGAATATTTTCAAGTAAGAGTAGAAAGGAAACAAATCTATTTGAATCCTTGTGAGTGTTATGTAGATCTAAGGAGCAATATATTCCAAAGTGTATTTATCATACTATTTGTGGATTGGATGAGGAACAGCACACATATATGCCTGGAACATTGTTTAATGCATTCAGCTGCTATTCCTGCAACAAGATAAGGCTTACTCACATGATGTCCATGCTACTGAACATGTTCTGTAAGATGTCCAGTAAATTACCCAGCCTGTAGGAGTACCAGACCTGTCTTCTGTTGAATATATATATAGGACATGATGAAATGATACCTGATTTGTTTGTTTAACCCTCCAAAATGTTTTACTGTATTGGATCAACAAGTGTGAAATAATATATTGTAGGATGATATTCACTATTAGTATGATTACATGTAAGAGTATGACCCTAAGTCAATGATATTGTATATTAATATAGAATCTGAATACTGTTCATACAGGCTTTATTTCAAAATCTGCATGATTTCTATTTGTGATCAAATCTTGTAATCCAGATCTATTATGTGCTTAATTTTGAGTAAATTGAAATACATATTCAAGATGTTGCAATTTCATTTTCCATCAGTGTATTTCCCATTCCAGGTCAACCCACTGAAGAATAAGCCACTTTATAAAATAAATCAATGAATAGGACTTATTTTCAACTATATTTGTTGCACAATACTAACTGGTGCATTAATTACTAATTGAAGCAACTGCACAAAATGATCAAGTGACTTTATCCATCAATGCTTATCTTCTGTAAAAATGATATTCATAGTTAAGTAGACTTAAACCTATGAAATCAAAGTTTTTAAATAACACAACAAATCCTTTTGAAAAGAAAGTCACATCAAATTGACATCATATCTGAACAGATAAAATTTACAAACACTAAATGAATCCTTTTCACATGAAGAATAAGTAGAAAGTGGAAGAAGAAAAGTCAGTTACAAGATGCAATCAACAGTTGAGAAAAGTCAACTGGTTAAAGCATGATAATCAAAACAACAGAGGTGTGTAGTAAAATAAGACCAAGGAATTCTAACTTACCTGTGACTAAGAGGCCATGATGTCTTGCCAGTCTGGTCGGAATTACCATTTGCAATTTAGGTAAAGTGCATACATGATTCTAGTGCTTTTAAAATTATCACTAATTTGCACACATGGTCAAAAATCTGAATAAAAGGTGAGCCACACAGACAAGCAAGGAAGTATCTACAAAACTTGACCTGTGCTGAACTGGGCCCGTTGCGACTATCAACTACAAAGTGAAGATACTAGTTCAAATTATTTGACTAAAGTTACAACTGCTTGTAATATTTATAGGTTGGGACTTAGGGTTGGACATTGGGGATCTGGGGACAGCAATGCAGGACCAAACAGTGTGGAAAGGGAGTTCCAACGAACCATAAGGAGATTGAAGGAAGATGATGATGTGATGAATATTTTAAATGATTATATTAAGCACAATTATTCTCTATTTGTTTCTGTTGACACAACTATCTCCTTTGATTGACTGAGACGAGCATTAAGTAAACAAAATAATCATCACTGTTTTTGGTCCAATTCTTTTGTAGTTAGCCTCTTGGTTAGATTTTGTCAAATGTTGCCCTTTCAAAACCTGCCAACTATACAAGATAAAAGATTTGTCAATGTCACAACACAGAGTTTGGTGAAAACCATAATTTGGTTAACTTTTGGTTCTGCCTAACATATAATAGCCACTTTGGAATAAATACTGTTAGTTTTTTTTTTAAGTGAATTATTTTGAGTGGTCCTGTATTTTTTTTGTTCTTTTTGAAGCTTTATGGAATGTAGCATGAAAAATTTAAATCACTGCTACATCTAAGTTCAAAAACTAGGATTCTGGATAGGAAAGACTGATTAGAGACCTAACCATTGAAATATAATAACGTAGAGTGCATGGCATATAATGATTGGTCATATGAATGCTGTATCTCCAGAAGAAGGAGCATTCCAAAGAAAAAAGTCCAAGGACAAATATCAGGCTTCCCAAAATTAGAACACCAAGCAATATTTGCCAGAATTCAGAGCAGAGAAGTTATGTCCACCAGTTGGTCAGTAAGAATGCTATTCTTATAGGTTTTAGCTCACATCTCACACATAAAAGATATATCTTCCTTTCTCCAAGAGGAGCATTAAACTGACAAGGTTCCTTTGCAAAAAGCAAGCTGATTTGAAAGAAATTCTAAAAAAAAATGTTGCCTCCATCTATGAGCAGAGAATTGCAATTAAACAAAGTATTTCTAGACATGAAAAGCAAAAAAGAAAAAAAAAACAGTAGCAAATAGAAAATTCAAATATTAAATAAATATTTTTAATATAAGTTATTCTATTAACAGCAACATATACAACTTGTTCCATAAATTTCATATGGAGATGTTCACAACTCTTTTCTTTGTTAAAGAATTCCATCTGATGGTGTGTTGAACAATGAAAGCCATGTTGCATTGAAATCCATACTGGTTTGAATTCAAACCAGCAGTTTTATGTTTCCTGATTTTTTAATTACCAGAAAAAAAAAAAATAGACCTTCTCTTTCTATATGGACAGTACACTTGAAGAAGGCCATACAATAGAGTTGCTGAAATGAAAATAACAAAAACAAAAAACTAAGTTCAATTGTCCAAAAGTCTTTTTGAATGATAATGATTCTTCTCAAAATTATAGAAAAAAAATAAAATTACCTATTTACATGCATGGAAACTTATGAGAAAAAAAAAAAAAAAAAAAAAAATTGTTAGACAGTTTTGTTGGAAGTAGACTAGCAAGTTGGTCACTAGTTAAAATTACTTACATACAGCTGATCGTTCAAGATCCATCAATTTGGAGGCATTGAAAGTAGGCCTGACACTGTATTGCTGAAGAAGAAATATTGAAATCATTTAGAAAACAAGATACAAAAAATGAAATTATAGAAAATCAATGTTACATATATGACACAACAAAATCACTCCACCAAAGTTAAGATTTTACAAGCCAGCTGTAATAAGCTGTTTAGGTTTGAGTTGGTTAAATATTTAATGCAGAAAACAGGGTGTTAAACAGATCCTTATCTGAGACAAACATTTATACCTAGATAAATTTGGGTGTCTAAAAAGGTTAGAAATTAAAGATATTTTAAAGAATAAAAACTAAGCCAAAATATAGAAATAAATGAATAAAATAAATATAATCTTGATAGAATTGAAAGTGTCTCAAAACGTTAACTCATATTTGAAAATCAGGTTGGAACATCAGACAAAAGAGATTCCAGAATATTTCTAAATCTAAAAAAATAACTCAGAAAAATTGGGAAATGTTTGATATCAGCAGAAAATAAAAAAATAAATCACCATGGAGAGAACGCAACAGGAAAATACTCCATTATCAATCCTAAGAAAACTTGTGATTTTTAACAGTTAAATTATGAAAGATAAATGGCATTAAGTTTATTCAAATTAACTCCTCTCTTGGTAGGAGTGACATGTGCAACAGGTGTTACTTGACTATCATCCAGCAACTGTTAGTAAAAATGGAGTAAAGTGGGTCAAACTTATCATCTGGTGAGGGAAGACATAACTTAGCAACTGTTTACATCAAATAAAAAATAATTCTTAGAATATGGAATATCAGAACACTAAACCAATGTAGCCAGTTAGAAATTATAAAGCAGGAAATGAACAGGTTAAATGTTAATAATTTAATCGTATGTGAAACGAGGTAGGCAAATACAGGATCATATATGCAGACAGAGAAAGAAATGAAAGAAGAATAGGACTGATATGACATGAAGAAATGTGTTCTGTGATATTGTCAACTATCTGAAGAATTCTTGTCATTAAACTGAAAGGAAAGCCTTTTAACATATCAGTCATAATTGTTTATGCATTGACAGCATAAAGTACAGAAGTTGAAAAAATTTATTGTACACTAGACAATTCCAAGGCTGAATGCAAATTGCAAGAAATTACAATTGTCATGGGGGACCTGAATGTCAAAGGTGAAAGATGATGAAATAGTTGGCAGATTCAAACAAGTAAACCATAATGAATGTAAAGAAGAATGGGTCCAATTGGTGCACTGTGAATGATCAGGTAGTAGCCGACATCTTGTTTCAAGAATGCCAAAGGTGTATATAGAGAAGCCAAGGAGGAGAAATGAAAAACCAAATAGATTATATAACTCTCAATAAGAGATTCAGAAATACAGTTTTACACTGCAAAACATACCCAAGTGTTAACAGTGGGAATGATGAATTTTAAGTGATATGTAAACTTAGAGTAAAACAACAGAAATTGAAGAGGGCCAATGCAGCACCCAAATTGCAACATGACAGACTCTTGAATGATCTGAATGTGAAGAAGAAATATATGGATTGTTTTAAAAGCAGATACAATGGACAAAAGTAAAATGTAAACTTGAAGTAGGACACATTAAGTGAAGTGTTAGTAACATCAGCAATTGGGATCATCCCAAAGAAATCTAAACAAAGAAAAAAAGAATGGATAATAGATGAAATTCTTGACAAAGAAAAGGACAATGTTATGGTACAGCTCAGAATATAGGGCATTGCACAAAGTAATTAGGAACCAATGCAGGTAGACTAAAGTGGAATGGTTCAATGAAAAGAGTACAGGAATAGAAAGAATGAGTATTACAGATAAAGCAGATATGCAAAGAAAAAAAAAAAGAAGAGAACAGGACAAAAGATATGCTCATCAACAGGATGCCTAAAATCCAAGGATGGGATATTGATATTAGAGAAAGAAAAAATACTTCAGAGATGGAACAAATACATCAGAGAGCTCTTCCATGACGAAAGAGAAGAACTGAAATATCAAAGGACTAAAAATATTAAAATCTGAAGTGGAATCAGCACTGTCCAAATTGAACAGGAACAAAGGACCATGACCAAATGGAATCATAGTAGAGATGCTGGCAGCCTTATATGATTTTGGTATTTACAAGACCACAGACATAATAAATGAAATATACAACAGTGGTGATTTCTTCATGGTAACTTTTTTCATTGGACACTGTTTACATAGACTAAGTGAGTCACATAATATAGGAGTGCAGGTAGTTTGGAATAAGGCAGACTATTGTGAAGATGTGTACAGGTTGACTCTTATTGTTTAGTGTTGGTGGCTATAGGCAGATAATAAGCATGAAATATGTTGGCAACAGTATATTAGTTCAGTGACTACAAAAACAACAAAAGGGAAAAGATAACTGTGCAGGAGAAAACAGATACGTGTTATTTTTCATATTCTTGTATTGATGTTGTGAAAATTACAATCACGTTAATTTGAAAAATGATGCCAGACCCAGCTGGTAATGAATTACATACATGCTCAGAAGCCAGTAGCAGGCATCAGACCACACCAGCCCCTGTGTTTGAAAGGTAACTTAGCCAAAAATTGGAAACTGTTTAAATGGAAGTGCCATAAATATAACATTATTATGCACAGCCAACAACTACAGTACCAAACTGTGTTATTTTTTCACACATTGGGGGTATAACATGTTAAAGGTATATAACGATTTCCATTTTCCCACAGCCAACAAATATCAAACACCTGAAGAAATTTTCCAAGAGTTCCACACGTATGCAGTTGGGGAAACTAATGTCATATATGAATATTTTATGTTTCACACAAGAAACAAAATAAGTCTGAGAACATGTAGCTTTTATAACTGCATTAATAAAAATGTGTGACTTTTGTAACAACTGCATCGTGTCAATATTGTGTGACCAAATTGTTTTGGGGATAAGGAACCCCCAAACACAAACAGAATTGCTAAAAGTGAGGGAGTTATAGTTGCATTGACATTTGCAAACTAATGGAGAATGTTGCTCAACAATCTCGAGCTTTGATACTTTCACTAAGATGGATCCAATTGAGATACCTCTGTGCATATGTGTGGGTTTTCAAGGTTACCTTTTTGTTTCTATAGTACATTAATGCACAATAAACCCCTCTTATTTGGGATTAATTTCTGATCCTAAACTTCTTTCACAAAATTGAGAAATTTATTATTGAATTCAAAGAGAAAGTAAGCTAATTACAAAAGTTTAGCCTTCATATCTAGTAATGATTTATTATTCTTTAGTTTTTTAATAGTTTTCTTAATTTTGTCATCAGTAGGTTCATTATTGTTTATGTTTGGGCATGGGCTTTGTAATGATTGGATGTATATTGGTATATTTTCTATTTCTGTGGGCATCTTTAGTATGGTTGGAGTTGAAATGTGACACAAAGTGATTTTGAAATCAAGACTTAAGCTATATGGTCTATCTAAAGTGCCATAATAAAGCAGCTGCTAATGAGAATCAAACTCACTACATGAGTAAACAGTCTGAAAAAAAAAAGAAAAAAAAAAGAGTTGTGAGAGATTCTTTGGGAGAATAAATAGAAGACAAAAGAGATTGATCTTTCATGATGATTTTTGCAAAATATTTTATAGTAGTTTGTAATAATTGCACAAACGACAGTTCAATGACTCCAATAAGGAAAAAGGAACAGTAAAATAAAAATTCTGTACAAAATTAATAGATTTTATCTGAGATTTTGGGATGAACAATTGAAATCCAAAATAGATTTCTCAAAGAAAAATTTCAACAAATTTCAAAGGGAGATAACTTAAATATTTTGAACAGTCGCTGGTGTAAAAAGCTTACTTTTTCCACTTTAATAAAGTGGATTATTTCGACCCTATTTGTGACATGTTTGAAAGAAATCTAGATAAAATGTTAAGTCTAGAGTCTTTACAATTAGAAGACGGAGATGCCTTATGTGATTTTGATAAAGAACAAATAAAACAATTCAAAAACTCAATTAGTTTTAAAATGATACTTACTATATAGAGCTTCTGTGGAAAAAGTATAAATTAAAATTAGTTCCTTCTAATTATGCTGTCGCTTTGAAAGTTTTAGATAGGGTAGTCAAAAGTTTAGAAATGAAAGACTTACTTCACAATTATTTCACTGTTTTTCATGAGCAGGAAAAAGAGAGAATCATGATACGTATATCAGTTTCCTAGGAAATATAGGCCTGCAATTAAAAGTGATGAACAGACCACCACTAAAATTAGGCCAATATTTAAGTGTTCAATTAAAACTGGCAATGCACCATTGTTAAATGAAGCCATTTACCCTGGCGTCAATTTGATGAACAACATGTTAGATTTGATAATGCCATTTAGAAGTAAGAAATATACTTTCTTGGCTGATATTAGAAAGGCCTTCCTTATGATCAAGTTAAAAAATGAAAATGATAAAAATAAGTTTTGTTTTTTCTTGAAAGAAGGTGAAAATTTAGTTTGCTTTAGAGATACAACTTTGATCTTTGGGTTTATTGCAAGTTCCTTTATATTGAATTTTATTATCCAACACCATGTTAACAAATACCCTAAAGAGATAATTCTTATGTTGATAACTTGATTAAGACAAATGATTCTCTTGAAGAATTGTTATACTTATATAGAGAATCTGTGAAAAGAAAGGCAGAAGGAAATTTTGAGTTGCATTTATGCAACACAAATTGAAAGGAATTAAAGATGTGTCAAGAAGACAATAAAAAAAAATTGCAGAACATAGAAAAAAATTTTAGGATATAAGTTATTATTATTAAAATACACCTTTAAATGCCAAATCTAGATGCGTCGTCAGTGTTGTTGCTCCCATGTCACTAGAAGTTTCGGGTCTAAATAAACAACAGACTTCTTTGATGGGCGACCCGACCGAATATGATCAGTATTCGGCCCGCACCTAGAACAAAAATTTGCCACTAGCTTTAGAATGTGAATTATATAAATTGCCCCAGCAAACAACAACCAATCAAGACTTCACTTGGGCTATTTGAAGTTATAAATTAGG